CTGAATCAAAAGAATATTCCATGATTGGTATTTGTAACACATAAAAACGTCAGTAAATGGCTTAGTCAGTTACACGATTTTCTCCAAATTTTAAGGTTGTATGTTCGAACCTTGATGCGTGCGGGATGTCTATCTGTGCTATACGGGTTTCTTCGAGTCGCTGCTACTGTAATCCTTATGTGACACTTCTTAGTCAGGGAAAGGAAACTACTACACTGTTTTTGAAAGGGTAAAAAAAAACCACTAATTTGAAAAAAGGGTAACTGTACTGTTAGCCTGCCTTGATCAGGGTAACTGAAAAAAGCGGCCTACAGAAAGGGCAAAAAGGGTATTTTTTCCCTGATATTTTGGGCCCTGCTCACCCCCCTTCCCCCTTTCATCCCCTCTTTTCCCGCTTCCTCCCCCCTTTTCCCCGTGCACGAGAATGAGCGCAACATGTCGGAATGGCACTTCCTGTTAGAAACCCCTGACACGTCCCAAGAGGGCGGGTGGTACATGGCGCGCCCATCCCCCCAATCCCCGTGTATCCTCCTCTTCTCCCCCGCTCAACTCCGTCCCTGCTTCCCCAGGTGCATGTGAACGAGCGCAACATGCTAGAGTGGCACTTCCTCCTAGAAGGCCCCCCGACACACCCTACCAGGGCGGGTGGTACGTGGCAAAGTTGCGCTTCCCCCCAGACTACCCTTCCATCCCATCACCTAGCATCCTCCTCTCCTTCCCCCCTTGCTTCCCCTCAGGTGCATGTGAACGAGCGCAACATGCTAGAGTGGCATTTCCTCCTAGAAGGCCCCCCCGACACCCCCTTTCAGGGCGGGTGGTACGTGGCAAAGCTGCGCTTCCCCCCAGACTACCCCTTCCGCCCACCCGCCATCCTCATGCTCTCGCCCCCCGGCCGCTTCAAGACCAACACGCGCCTCTGCCTCTCCATCTCCGACTTCCACCCGGGTGAGCGTGGTTATGGGTGGTGTGAGTGGGTCGGGGAGTGGGAATGTGGGAGAGTGGGAGTGTGGGTGGAGAAGGGGAACTAGGAATGCGGGTTGCAGAGGTTGAGGGCGAAAGGAGGGAAGGGGACGGGATGAGGATAGAGAGAGAGGGAAGGGAAGGGTGTGACAGATAAAGAACGCTAAGTCTAATTCTTGTGCTTCCCCTGCGTCTGTCACATCACATTTTCTTTGGCTTTCCTTCCTAATGGCAGTGTTTTACACCATCGCATGCCATCTACGTTGTGGCCCAAGAGTTTTTGCGAGTCCCATACCATGTTCACCCCTTCAGATGTCACATGCCTTCTCTATGTTGCATTCGTTTCTGCACACACACACCCGTGGTGATGATGCATGTTCCCCTCTCCTCACTCTTTTCCCTGTGCTATCTCTCCCCCTCCCTCACCTCCCCTCTCTACTGCACCCCCGTCATGCGTCTCAACCCTTCCCCCCCTCCGCTCTTCTCCTCTCCCCTCCTCCGCTCCCCTCCCCTCCGTTCCGCTCCCCTCCCCTCCGCTCTGCTCCCCTCCCCTCCTCCCCGCTGCCTGGCCTTCCCTGGAAGGGTAGTGAGGGAATGGCCAGGCATGTAGGGAGTTGGACTGGAGGAAAGAGCAAAGCAGGTAGTGAATGGTGGCGGGGGAATGGCAGGGCATAAGGGGAAGGGCAGGTGTGGAATAGCAGGGTAGGGTAGGGAGGAATACGGCTGACTCACCTTGTGCAAAATCGTTGATTTTGTCCTCTTTGCCTTGGCGAACGTGGCGCCTTGTTTGAGGAAGCTGTGCCTTAGGAATACGTGTGCTATGGAGAGAACCAAGGGGCAAACAGGGGCGAAACATGTGGCTAGTAGGGGCGAAACGTGGGGCTAGTAGGGGGGAAACATGGGGCTAGGAGGGGAAACACATGGTGCTAGCTTAGGGAAAACATGGGCCTAGCTTTGGGGAAACATGGGACCATCATTAGGGGGGAAACATGGGGCCTGCAGGGGGAAAACATAGGACTAGTAGGGGGGAAACATGGGGCTAGCAGGGGGGAAACATGGGGCTAGCAGTGGAGAAACATGGGGCTAGCAGAGGGGAAACATGGGGCTAGCTTGGGGGAAACATGGGGCTAGCAGGGGGGAAACATGGGGCTAGTAGGGGGGGAACATGGGACTAGGAGGGGGGAAACATGGGGCTAGCTTGGGGGAAACATGGGCCTAGCTTGGGGGAAACATAGGGCCAGCAGTAGGGGGGAAACATGGGGCCAGTAATAGAGGGGAAACATGGGGCCTGCAGGGAGGAAACATGACAGTGCACGGACAGATACAAGGGCGGATCAAATCATGCGCCTTCGCTCGAAGTAAACGGGAAGCGAGGCACTTACGCTGCTGTGTCTTCTGCGCCATCTTAGTTTTCATGCGCACCGTGAGGTTCCACCACTTGCGGAACCGCTCCGTCCACCGCTGACTCCCTTTCCACTTGACTTCCGGGAACAACACTTTAATCACCTCGCGTGACCAGTCTTGCAGCGGGCCGACTGATACTGCAACACCGCAGTGTTGCCAGTCGAGGAGTTGAGCGTACACTTTCAACTCCATGAGTCTGTACCAGGAAGACTCCCTGCGCCCATGAAGTCGACACCGTGCGCCGTGTGCAGCCTTGAGCTGCTCCGATTGGGTTTTCCACTCCGTCAGGCATTTGCGGTGAATGCCGGACTCTTGCGCGACCTCGCTTACCGATGCCGCAACCTCCAGCCGAACGAGCCACCTTAGTTTCACCTGGGCGGTGTAGGAGTGCCGTTTATGTTGAGACGGCTTGTGCCTGGGAGAGGGGGTGCGGGCATCTCGGTTCTCAAAGGAGGGGTGGGGTCGTTTTTTGTTAATAGGTGGATACGTTGGTATCGGCATCTTCTCGCGTGGTGCGTTGCGCCACCAAGATTCCACACCGTCATCATCCGCGGCAGTTCAAGCACGATCTGGGAACACGTCCTCCTCGGCGCCCTCTTCACCGTCGCCTCCGCCGTTGCCGTCACCGGTGTTATGTTTATCGGCGGCCACGTCATCCTCGGCGCCCACAGCCAACTAGTCCCACGTGCAGGCTTCAGAATTTCCCTACCGAGGTGCAGGCGGCGGAGCATGGATAAAGACAGCGGAGGCCTTGGGTGTGTCAGGCTCAGACAGCCACTCGTCGGAAGTGGCTGGTAAATACAGCTGGAGCACGGGCGGAATCAGAGGAGCGGGAGGAGCTGGAGGAGTAGGAGGAGCAGGAGGTGCAGGAGGAGCAGGAGGTGCAGGAGGAGCAGGTGGTGTAGGGGGTGCACGGGGTGCAGGTGGCACTGGAGGCGCTGGTGGCTCACGGGTATACTACCCGTCCTCGGTAAGTCGCCACGGGCGATGTGGTTTTTTCTTGAAGAGGAAGTGCGTCCCGCGGAATTCCGCCATGGCTTTGCCACCCAGTCGATCTGGACTGGAAATTGAATGAAGAAAAATGAAAATGAGGTTGCACAAATGGGCAACGACGGGGACCCCATAGGGTTGGCGGCTCGGGGTCCTCGTCGATGACAGGCGGGAAACCCCCGCGTACCCCCGTAGAGGAACCTGCGTGGCAGCATATGCGCTGCGCTGGCAGGGAATCTCCCCCACCCTTCGAGAGGGTTGAGAAGAAATGTACATGCCACACAGCGCATGTGGCAGTGATTGGGCCGCACGGCAACATCCCCGTCACTGCTGTCACGTTCGATGGTTCTAGACAAAACTGTGCGGTGGGAAACCGAACCGCAGCTGTTTTTTCCTTCAAAACCTTGCACGATCCCACTTGTTGCATGGTCGGTTGGATTCGCCTTATTGCGGGCTTCAGATTGGTATGTTCAAAAGTGAATTACATTTTTTTCCCTATTATAGGCGCATGCGCTTATAAAAACGACTCAATTAGAAGCGCACCCCCCTAAAAAACAGATTTATTATAAGCGCACATGCGCTTATATCCGGGGTAATACGGTAGCTTAGACCATTCTAACAGTACTCCCTAGTGTGCTACTCACCGAAGCCAAACATGCATGTACCGTAAATGTTTTGACACCCCTCTCCATCTTCCCCATTTATTGCAACCTTCGCTATGACTATCTGTTGTACCCAATGGGTAAAACACACTTATTACACTTACCAGCGGCCAGTTTTCGGGGTTTACCCTGATTTTGACAGCCTGTTTTGTCCGTTACCCTTTCCGCAAAAGTGTAGACTTTCAAAGTAGGCTGATTTTGCAAGGGTGCCTTGACTTTTAGCCTTGCCAAACAAGGTGCGAAAAAGCGTGCACTGAACCAGGAATCTGATCTTGCCGCGCCTCCCATACCTACGTACCACAATCTCCTCGCCTCTCTCATCCAATCTCCTCCTTCTGAGGCTCGGAGTTCGTGCCCCACTTCCCCAATCCGTTCGCCTCTCCCAGTTCATCAATCAGCACCGTTCCATTCGTCACTTCCAGGCTCCAGCCTCACTCCCCCCAATTCCTTGGGCTCTCCAAATCCAAACCTCATCCTCCCCCCCCCCCTCATTTCCTTCACACATCTCCCAGCCCCTGTCCCCCCATTCCCTCGACCCTCCCAGCATTTTTGGCGCCCAAGTTGTGGAAAGCAAATTCTGGTCTTGCTGCAAGCTAACGAAACGAATACCTTATAAGGTTCGAGAAAAACTAGAAAGGAAGATTTACCCTTACACAATCAGGGTGTTATTTCACCACGCTCAGTTTACCCTGATTTTGATGGGGTAATTTTTTTTCCATCCTGATAGAAAGGGTGACGTCAGCAAGGCACCCTGATTAGTAAGACTGCACTAAAACCAATTTTGGGCCCTGGTGTCTTCTAGTATAAGGTCCACTCCACACAAGTTTTTTTCTGAAATTGTGTAAGTGAACAAGGACAACATTGGTGCACTAGCGACAATTTCTCGCCTTGAGATGAGAATGCATTGCTTTTTTAAACACAGGAGACAATGTTTGAATGCCCGAGAAACAAGTAAGCATGAAGCAATTTATTAACCTAGCAGAGTCACACTCCCCTAACAACCACTCCAGCACGAAGCAACTCCCGGCAAGCCCTCTCGGAAACCTTGTTCCCTTCCACCTTCAAATATTGCAGCCTTGGAACGTTCCCCAGCAACCTGCCAATAGCGTCTGCAGTGATTCCACCGCACCCCACCACACTCAACCGAGTTAACAGCACCAGTTTACTTCCTTCAATCACCGTGTCTGAAAAGCCATCGCAGCCTTCCACGCGCAAATCCTCCAGCATGCCACATGCACGCAGCAGCTCCAGCAGCTGCCCCTCATCCAGCCCACAGCAGTTCAAGAGAGCCAAGCTCTTGAGCCTTCTCAAGGCAGCAGCTCGTGCCAGCGACTCAAAGGACTGTGGCTCGCTGCTCAGTCTCGGGACAGCACAGTGGGGGGAGGATGATGAAGGAACTGAAGGGAAGGGTGTGGTTGGGGGAGAGGGGTACATGAGGGGAGGGGCAGAGGGAGGGGAGCGCAGCCAAGATAAGTCACACGTGGAGGTGAAGCAAATGCTGTCAAGAGTTAGCGACTACAGTGGAGGGCAGAACACTTCCACAGCAGCTGCAAGTGTTCTCGCCCTTGAATTTGCGCTCTTGTTGGGCACTGCGCTCCCCTGTGGGGGTGTGCGAGCTGAGCTTCTGCCGCCCGGCTGCTTGGCACTTGGCAGCTGCTCTGAGGCTTCTGCTGCTCTCGAATCCTCTCCCACTGCCCCTCTCGCTTCTCCTTCTGCTCCTGTTGGCTCCTGTGCCGCTGTCCCTTCTGCCGCTGTCCCTTCTGCCGATGTCCCTTCTGCCGATGTCCCTTCTGCCACTGTCCCTTCTGCCGCTGTCCCTTCTGCTGCTGTCCCTTCTGCTGCTGCCCCTTCTGCTGCTGCCCCTTCTGCTGCTGCCCCTTCTGCTGCTGCCCCTTCTGCTGCTGCCCCTTCTGCTGCTGCCCCTCCTGCTGCTGCCCCTTCTGCTGCTGCCCCTTCTGCTGCTGCCCCTTCTGCTGCTGCCCCTTCTGCTGCTGCCCCTTCTGCTGCTGCCCCTCCTGCTGCTGCCCCTTCTGCTGCTGCCCCTTCTGCTGCTGCCCCTTCTGCTGCTGCCCCTTCTGCTGCTGCCCCTTCTGCTGCTGCTCCTTCTGCTGCTGCCCCTTCTGCTGCTACCCCTTCTGCTGCTCCTTGTGCTGCCGGCCCAGGCACCGGTGCCGCTGCCCCAGTTCCCGCTGCTGCAGTGACCAGCCCTCCTGCCGCTGCCCCAGGCACTGCTGCCGGCGCGGGTACTGCTGCCAGCGCGGGCAATGCTGCGGGGTGGGGCGGAGCAGGATCATTGATGTCGAAGCGAGCGCCCATGTCTTCCATCTCCAGCAGCAGCAGCTCCATCAGCGCACGCAGCAGCTCCCGTGCGTCTGCCTGCGGCACTGCCACCCACGCCAGCAGCTTCGCACTCACGGCCGCCAGCTCATCTTCCAGGTCATCCTCGGGTATGTACCGCACCACCTCTTCTGCATCAATCCATTGCCCTCCCCCCCCATCCTCATTCCACTCCGGCTGCGCCTGCACTTCCTCCTCCACAACAGCAGTGAAGAAGCCTGCAGCCTCGGCAGCACGACAGGCCTTTGCAAGTGCCTCCTGGCGTGTATTGCTGATTTTCATTTCGGCTTTAGCCAGCCGCACGCAGCGGCACAGCAGGATGGCGGAGCGCACCCGAACGACGGCCTGGTGGATGTGGGAGAGGGCCCCCACGCCGTGGTGCAAGTGGCGGCGGTGCAGCGCCTCCACGGCGGCCTCCTTGAGCTTCCACTTGGATGTCTTCCACTTGGAGGTCCATCCAGTTGTTCATTGCCGCCACAAAGTCACCGCATGATGCTGCTGCTTCCACGGGCAGGTCCACGTACCGTCGCCTGCTGCTGCCCCTCACCCCCTCGCAGGCCACCACCGGCGTGGCCGGTGATGCCGGTTCGTCGCCCTCTGCTGCTTCTGCTTCTCCGATTGTCATTGCCTCTGATTCATCTTCTGCTTCTTCTTCTTCTTCTTCTTCTTCTTCTTCTTCTTCTTCTTCTTCTTCTTCTTCTTCTTCTTCTTCTTCTTCTTCTTCTTCTTCTTCTTCTTCTTCTTCTTCTTCTTCTTCTTCTTCTTCTTCTTCTTCTTCTTCTTCTGCTTCTTCTTCTTCTTCTTCTTCTTCTTCTTCTTCTTCTTCTTCTTCTTCTTCTTCTTCTTCTTCTTCTTCTTCTTCTTCTTCTTCTTCTTCTTCTTCTTCTTCTTCTTCTTCTTCTTCTTCTTCTTCTTCTTCTTCTTCTTCTTCAGCTGCTGCTGCAGGGGAAGCAGCGGTGCTTCCTCCCCCTTCGTTCTCCACAGCCATCGCCCCTTGCTGCCCCACCACTCCATCATCCCTTCCCTCCGGTCCGTCAACGATCCCCGGCTGCTCCACGCGCACCAGCATGGCCACAAGGCAATCCAGAGACGGCTTCTGCGGCGACATGGACGACAAGATACCTCCGCTCGCCGCCTCTCGTCCTCTCAGCGTCAGGCGTTGCAGATTGCTGCAGCATGCAAGCATGCCTGGGCGGTACGAAGGCAGCCCGGAGAGTGTGAGGGTGTGCAGGTGGGAGGAGGACGAGAGGAGCAGAACCCGGAGGCCTTGTGGGATGAAGAGAAAGTAGGAGGTGGAGTGCAGCGAGAGGGAGGCGAGAGCGGGGTTAACTTCAACCAGCGCTGCGAGGGAGTGGCTGGGAATCATGGGGCAGTCGTGGACGGCCAGATGGGTGAGCGTGTGCAGCGAGCGAGCGAGCGCGTGCAGGTCGCAGGGGTCGATGTTGCAGGAGTGGAAGGCGAGCGAGGCGAGGCGAGGGAAGGAGGCGAGGGGCTTGAGGGCGCCTTCGAGCTTGGCGTTGTGGATGGTGAGGGCGGCGAGGGAGCGGCGCAGCGGGGAGGAGGCGGACGCGAGAGTGTGGAGGCCGAAGGCGTAGGGGCGCGAGAGGGTGAGCGAGGTGAGGGAGGAGCAGAGGGCGACAAAGCGGTAGTGCGTGGGCACGAAGAGGAGGGAGAGAGAGCGCAGTGAGGGGAAGGCGTGCACTGGGGGAGGCGGCGGGTCGGTGCAGGCGAATGGGCACTCAAGCTCCAGTGACGCCATGCGGCTGATGGGAGGGGGAGAGGAGAGGAGGGGTGCAGGGGGATGTGGCTGTGTGACGTCTGCGGGTCTTCACAAGGGTTAAAAGGCGACCGCTGTTTCTGAACGACCAGCATTTAGGCCCAGTGGGTTAGCGAGGCATTATGGGTTGGGTGATTGCCGGAGACATAAGGCAAGTAGTGGTGATATGCACTGGAGGAATTGGGACAAGGCTTAGACAGGACGGGAGGGGAAGGGGTGAAGGGAATACAGGTAGACAGGATGAGAGAGGCAAAGCGCGTGGGGGCGGAGTCATGACGCGGGAGCGGCGGAGAGAACAGAAATGTGGCGGTGCACATGTAATGCAAGAAACGGCGGCGAGTGAGGGAGCGGCGAATGAGGGAGCGGCGAAATGAGGGAACGACGAATGAGGGAGGGACTTTGTGAGGGAGCGACGAATGAGGGAACGGCGAATGAGGGAACGACGAATGAGGGAACGGCGAATGAGGGAACAGCGAATGAGGGAACGGCGAATGAGGGAACGGCGAATGAGGGAACGGCGAATGAGGGAACGGCGAATGAGGGAACGGCGAATGAGGGAACGGCGAATGAGAGGGCGACGAATCCGTGTTGGCGAAGGTGATAGAGGTTCGTAAGGCGGGAAGCAAAGCGACGTGGGGGAGCAGAGACAAACAACTTTGCGCAGCGCAGTGCTAACGAGAGAATGAACGAAAGGGGCAGAGCAAGTATACGAGAAGCCGTCGCGGCTTGAAGCCAGAACCACTCACTCACTCACTCACTCACTCACGGGCATTGCGTGGCGAAATTCTTCCACGTCGCGGGGCTGATCTGAAACCGGTCGCGGTCCGACACGAGCCTCAGCCTCTCCAGTCGCGCGCACCCCGCGCCGATGCCGCCCAGAAGGTGATCCAGGATGCCGGCACTAACCTCCACCGTGAGGTTGATTATGCGGGTAAATACCCCAGAATAAATCTCGAAATTCTTCAGCCATTCTCGGGCAGTGACGTCATGTTTTTTTGCGAAGGGGTGGAGGTGGAGCGAGTGGGGCGTGCGGCGGGAGAGGCGGTGGAGGAGCGAGCAGGAGAGCGCGAGGCTGCAGCGGTCGCGCGGATGGTCGACGCGCGCGAGAATGGGCTCGAGAAGCTCGTCGGGGAGCGACAGCAGGCGCGAGCTCTCGCGACCGCGCGCACCCTTCATCGCCGCGCGGTGAGGGTTTCGCTAACGCGGGAACAGAAATTAGTCTGCTGAGAGTGGTGGAATGGGGACGAGCAGCATCCCGGAGGACGATATGGGAATTAGCGCACGTATGCTCCGCTTTTTGCTGCTTGATGCAGTCGCCGTGTCTATGCTTGCGCTTATGGAGTGTGGCTTCCTACTTGTATGACGAACACGAATGTATGGGCAAGTGTTACGAGTGCAATTGAGTGAGCGAGCGAGAATTGCACTATCGAAGCAGGAATACAATGAGCGAAGACATGAGCGAAGAATATATAGCGAAACTACAGTGGTAACGGTCACGGACTGTGGTTGTCGCGTGACGGGCCTGGGACTGAGGTTGGGAAAAGTGCCGAAGCGGAGGCCCGGGGCGCGGGTTACCCGCCGAGCCGTGAGTTCGGGGTGCGACGTGCGAAGGTGGCGGGAGGATTGTCGATGCGAGAGTTGCGAGTGATAACGGTACTGACTGTGGTGCTTCAGTAGTGTATGCGCTGAGCGGGGACGCGAAGTAAGGAAAAAGAATTTTCCTTACACTACCCCCCCCCCCTAAGGAGGTCCTCCTTACGAAAGCGCGTGTACATCCCTAAAATTTCGGCTGCGCAGATACTCGGTGAGGACGGGGTGGTTCTCGATTCTATCTAGGGGAACCCAATTGTCTTCGGTGGGTTTTCCAGCGGATCAGGAACTCGATCCTTCGGGCTCCTCGAGGGTCACGAACTCGGTGGCTCAGGATTTTTTCGGGGGTGATGATTGGTTCAGTTGGCGGTCGTATCATGCTGGCTGGGCGATTGCGTGGCAGTTGGCTCGTGGGCGGGACGTAAAGGCGAAGCAGGCTGACCTTGAATGAGGGGCTGACGTACCAGTCAGCAGGGAGGAGGAGGTGGGCGGTGGCGGGCGTAATCATGTGGTTTATGCGAAATGGTCCACAGTATCGGGGGCGGAGTTTTGGGGTGATGGGCAGGCGGACGTTCTGGGTGTCAAGTAAAACCAGGTCGTCGGGCTGGTAAGTGACTGGTCTGCGGTGGCGGTCGGCGTTACGTTTAGCGATGATGTTGGATTTTTTTATTGCGTCTGCTGCCCGGGTCCGTGCTGCTTGTAATATTTCGGCGAACTGTTGTGCTCGTGGCACTGGGTTGTCGGGATTCGGGGTCATGGGTACTGTCGGGTCTTGTCCGTAGTTTAGGTAAAATGGTGACTGTTGGGTCGTGGCGGATGGCGAGTTGTTGTACGCGAATTCGATGAGTGGCAGTTGCTGTTCCCACGTGGTCGGGTCGTCGCACGTGGCTCGGATAAGCTACTCCATGGTCTGGTTTGTCCGTTCTGTCTGTCCGTCAGTTTCGGGGTGGTACGAAGAGCTGAACTGTAGTCGCGTGCCGAACTGCTGCCACAGGTTCCGCCGGAAGTTGCTGGTGAATTTCGTGTCTCGGTCGCTGATGATCGCTGCTGGTATCCCGTGCAGGCGTACGACGGTGGCGATGAAGAGGCGTGCTGTTTCTTCGGTTGTGATTGATTTTTTGCAGGCTGCGAAGCGTGCCATTTTCGTCAGTCGATCGACGACGACCAGGATCGCGTCGTTCCCACTCGCTCCGGCCGGTAACCCCGTGACGAAGTCCATCGTCACCTGCTGCCAAGCATGCTCTGGGGGTGGAATCGGTTGCAACTGTCCTGCCGGCCGCTGCCGTGATGACTTCATGAGCTGGCAAGTGGGACACGATGCCACGTGTCGCTGTACGTCGGTCAACATTTCGGGCCAGTAATAATACCGCTGCAGCTGCTGTCGTGTCTTTTCTACCCCGAAATGCCCCGAGGTAACTCTCTCTTGTGCCTCTTGTAACAGTAATTCCCGTAGCAGTGTATACCCAGGCACCCAGATGCGGTCGGTTCCGGCTTTTACGTAATAGACTCCCCTTGCTGCTGCGAACTGCTGCGAATTTCCTCCTGTGAAGAATGGATCCGTTTGGTACCCGTGGGTAACTAGGCCTGTCAGTAGGGGGCTGGTCTGGGCAAGTAGTATTGCGTGAATCCGGGCAGTGTTCGAGGCGGGTCAGTGCGTCGGCGATGTTCGAGGCTCCCTTTTTGTAGGTGACCGTGTAGTGAAAATTTGACTCGAGGAAGTCGAGCCAACGAATCTGTCGTGGGTTGAGGTGTGGCTGTGCGCGGAGGTACTGTAGTGATTTATGGTCTGTCCGTACTGTCACGTCTCCGCCGGTCAAGTAACAGCGCCACACTTTGAACGCGTGCATGATCGCAAGCATTTCGCGGTCGTGTATCGGGTAATTTTTCTCGGGCGGATGCAGTTTTCGTGACTCGTATGCGATGGGCTGTAGGCTGTTGCCGAAGTCCTGTAGTAGTACGGCTCCAATGACGCTGTCGCTGGCGTCAGTAACTACTTCGAATGGGCGGTGTGGGTCAGTGATGCGCAGGACGGGCGGTGAACAGAGAATAGTTTTCAGGGCAGAGAAGGCAGCATGCTCTTTCTCCCCCCACGTAAAAGCGACCCCCTTCCGTAATAAGTCCGTCAGTGGCGCCGTCAACCGTGCCATGTCAGGAACGAACCGACGCACGTAGTTTACGAACCCTAAAAAACTCTGCAGTTCCGTAATATTCGTCGGGGGGTGCCAGGCTTTCACCGTGTCCAACTTCTTTGGGTCAATTTCGACCCCAGCCTCCGAAATAATGTGCCCCAAGAACTCTAACCTGTCCTGAAAGAACTCGCACTTGGAACCCTTTGTCAGTAGCCGATGCTCGTCTAAGATATTAAATACTGCTTCCAGATCTGCTAAGTGCTGCTGCTTGTCGCGACTGTAGACCAGGATGTCGTCGAGGTAAACTATCACGCATTTATCTAAGAGCGGCCTAAAAGCCTCGTTCATGGTAATTTGAAATGTCGCTGGTGCGTTGGTCAGCCCGAAAGGCATCACGGTGTATTCGAATGACCCGTATCTAGTCCGAAAAGCTGTTTTGGCGCAGTCCGATGGTTCGACCCTAATCTGATGGTAACCTCCCCGTAAATCTATTTTCTAAAAAACCCGTGCTGTTCGCAGTTGGTCGATCAGTTCGTCGGCGCGGGGAATGGGGTACCATGACTTGACTGTTACCCTGTTGAGCGCTCGGTAATCGATGCACATGCGAAACCCTCCGTCTTTTTTTGGCGTGAACAGTATCGGTGCGGCGAACGGTGATGAGCTTGGTCGGATGAATTTCTTCTCTAACAAGTAATCTAACTGCTTCCTTAGTTCCTCAAGCTCGGGCTGTGTCAGTCTGAACTGGCGCTGTACAGTTGGCTGTGCCCCCAGTTCTAATTCTATTCGGTGGTCATGTGCTCGCTGAGGTGGCAGTCCTTCCGGTAAGTCGTTGGGAAAAATGTCGGGGTATCGTTTCAACAGTTCCTGTAATTCGGGCTTTCCTGTTGCTAACAGTTTCTGAAAATCGCTCGGCTGCTCTGCTTCTTCTACTACTGCGATGTCTACTGCGTACACGTCAGCTCCAGCAGCGACAGCCCGTTTCATGGTGATGGCGTTGACGTGTACCGTTGAAGACTCGGGCGACTGCCAAAGAGGTAGCTCGACCCAGTTACCGCTACTCCGCACAATGCAGCGACCCGTCGTCCAGTCAATTCGCGGGTTATATCGTCGCAGCCAATCACGTCCCAGTAAAATGTCGTGCCCATCCAGTGTCGTTGCAAGCATTTCCTGTGTAAACCCGAAATTTCCCCCGCAGCGGACTTTGACTCTCTCCACCTTTTCCCGTATGGCCAGTGGCGTGCCGTCGACTAAGCGTGCATCTATCTCAGGTAAACAATGGCTAAGTGTCAGTTGCAATCTGCGTGCGGTTGCGGCATTAACTAAACTGTGACTTGCTCCTCCGTCGATAAAAATCTTCACTGCTGCTCCCTGTATTTTCCCGTGGATCAGTACTGGGCAATCCGTCGCTGTACCCTCCTTATTCGTCCGAGCCCGATCGATAGCATGAATCGTCACTGTGACTCGGTGAGGGTCGGTGGGGTTGGGCGAGCAGGCAGTCTCGTCAGTAGTTGGCCCGATTCCTACTGACTGATGGCGTTTCCCTGCCTTGGAGACTCCCTACCCTGCTTTGCTCCGCGGCGCCTTAGCTCCTCTTGGCATTCACTCTTGCGATGGCCCGGCCTATTGCAAGCAAAGCAGCGCCCCTTAAACGGCGCGACAGCTGCATTCGTTGCAACGGCGTGTACAGTGGCGTGCTCGATCAGTTCCCGAGGACGATGTCCGTAGTAGGACCCCGGTCTCGGACGGCGTAAAATGTCGATTTTCTCGGCGAGCGCGAGAATCTCGTTGAAGTTCGAGAGCCCGCGTAGCATAATCTCGTGCGAGATGTCCGGCTTCAGCCCTCCGACGTAACGGTCCACCCGCTCTGCTTCGTGCATGTAGCCGACTTGCTCGCATAATGCGAGAAAACCACTCGTGTAGTCTTGATCCGACCCGAGCTGCCGCCAAGTGCGCAATCTCTGATGCGCCGAAATAGAAGTCGCGATCGGCTCAAAGCGCGCCCGCAGCCCTGCGCACCACGCATCCCACGTGCTGTATTGGGCGGTTTCGCAGAATGAGCTCCAGGTGACAGCTGGACCCGTGGGCCCTTCCTCTTGCGACGATGGCTCGTAGGCGCGTGGCGACGTCACGATGACTCGCCACCAGTCCATGGCGGGGCCCCTTAGCAGCGAAACGACATATCAAATCTTCGCTGCGTCCGACTCGACGTAATTCGCGTCAAAGAAGACGTTCATCGTGAAGACCCACGACTGAACCGTCGGGCCTCCACGCTGGCTCGGGTAGAAGCAGGGCGGGCGTTGCGGCTTGAGTGGCATTGGTGCTATAATGGCCGGTTCGCCACTTGTCGCCGCGAACTCTTCGTGCCGACGGGCTTCGCGAGGCTCCCGCGGGCTTGGTGCGACCCTGTTTCCTCCCATGCCAGGCATCGGCTGGGCGGCGCCATCACTGGCTGCGCCT